GGTAACTCTGGCTGTTGCCATGAAAGTCCTCTTGCCTTAATCCTAGTGAAAACTTGTTAAACTTCAATAAGTGGGTGGACAGACCCACAAATTCTGACTCAGTGCATTGCATATGCAGGGATGGACTCAGAATGTGGCCCAGAACATGACTGACACCAGGGTGAACTGTAGAGGTTTGGATAAAGAATTATTGACTCTTTGTGTAAACCAGAAGTAATTGTCAATTAAACTTCTGAATTTATTGTAATTATACTTTACTGTACCAAAGAAAGTTGTGAAGCAGAACATATGAAAATGTTGTGGCCACAGGTACAACACTTGAGTGTAGCATGAACCTTTTCTTAACATTAGATAAATAAATCTTGGCTGAATTATGAATGATGGCCTTTTGAGTAAAATCAATAAGAAAGTGCTCTCTAATGGTTTTCCAGTATGATTAACGAGTCGTTAACTTTAATTATTTGCACAAGTTTATTGCTTTATTACCATGATTAATCTTTATAATCTCTACCTTGTGATGACCCCTCTCGTGAAGTGGGATCAGCTCTGTTTTGGAGCTCTTACTGTTCTGTCACCTTGATGCTGGATCTGTGCTTTGTTTTGCAGCTTTTGTCTGCTGCCTGGGCCAATAAGCACTCATTAATCTTCCTTACAGCCTTCATTAAAGCTGCTACCATCACACCCTGGCCCTTCTCTTCAGTCCCCCTATCTTCTCCTTAATGCCCATCCCCACCATCTTTATCTCTGCCCAGCCTGCTTTCCATAATGTTGTACCTGAAAGCCCACATACCTCGTCTCTCCTCTTCATCTCACCACACTCCTTCATTCTTCTCCTCTTCATTCCTTTTGTTTCCGGCCTCAAAGGCTTTAGGCCCATGTGAGCTTGATCCAGTTTTTGTGGTGGCCTGCACGCGATAATGTTTTAGTCCATGTGTACGGTTTTGTTTGTTGGTTTGTAGCAAAAGGATGAATAGGGCTGGGTATCATGGCCAATTCCCCAAATCGGTTCGATTTTAGATTAATAAGGTTCTAAATCATCTATCCATTATATTAACCTGCCTCTTCCCTTCAGGGTCATGAGGGTCACTGGTACCCATATCCAGCAGTCACTATGGGGCGGGGTACCACCTGGACAGGTTACAGGTCCATCACAATTAATCACATATGCCACGGACTTCCGATCTAGCACTTTTGCATTCTTTGGCCCCGCACCAGTCTTCTGGTTCACAGGCAACACAGTGTTAGCAAAAGATTTTTTTCACTCGACAACGACTCTTAATGATCTCCACAGTACAGAATTAGCATATTACATGTACCAACATTAACACAGGAGGTGTACAGGTTCAGCCAAGTGGAAAAAAATCACTCCGAAGTGGATTAAAGCCATAAAATCAAAGGAAAGACGTTCTTGTTTATGTTTCCAGAATTTAGCCTTTTTAGCTATTCCTCGGCTGCTTGTTCTGTGAATTTTTCATGTAGAGCTGTGACACTTATATTGTTGGAAAGAGCAGAGTCTGGGCTTTAAATTGATGGGCTACTTGTATGGTTTGGATCGTTTTCCCCGACATTAATGAAATGAACAGGTGGAGGTTCTGCTGCTCTTGGTAATCGGGGGAGGGGGGGGGGCTCGGCGCTTGGGTTTTGTCTACGTTGTAATATACACTCTAACAAGTTTTTACTTCTGCATAAAACTCATGAAAAAGTTGCCTAAAATAATTTCATACCCTGTATAACACAAACGCGCACACACACACACCTACCTTGTGAAGGATCTTGTCGGAAGCAGCAAAATTGTGAATGACGAACAGATGCCTCAGCTTCAGGCTCTCAAACTGTTTCCGTAGCTGGCGGATTTCCTCCCGAATAATTTAATTTATCTTCAGCACTAAATCCACAACTGCAGAGTCTGGAGTAGCACCATAATCGTGATCCAGAACGTCTCTTTACCGGCTGCTGTGTTAGCTTCCTGCTAGCTGTCGTGTGGAGGAGGTCTTTCCTCTCTCGTCTTGGCAGTAAAAGGGGATAAATGTACATTTCCCTTTTGTAACCTCCATCTTCTCATTTCTGACGCTGACTCTAGAATATCCTCAGTTTAGAAATGCCAATTACAAACACGAGCGTGAGGTTTTTTTAAGCTAAGTTTTGCCTGTAATGCTATGATCCACTGCTGTCACCTCCTCACCAAGAGGAAAATGGATAAAAACTAACTACTCGATCGTATCTGCTGCTTAGTGGACACAACGACACACAACAAAACTCACGTTTTATACCAGTAGATCACAGATGCTTTAACTTTTGTGACTTTTACATGGACTAGTACTGGGAGCTAACGCTAAAAACAAAGGCAGTAAACAGGAAGTGGAAGGGCGGTTCAAGGCCAGAATTTTAACGGAAATACGTCACCAATGGCCGTGGCATATAGGCTATTTGATTCGATTCAATCTGCTATATTAATGAAAATGACTCAACTTACTTGTTTTCTCTTCACCATAAACTGTTGGCGTCAAAATAAAAGAAAATAAAACTCTCAAAGTAATCATTGCCTGTGCATTTTTCATTCTTTTATGTATATATATTGTATGTTTAAACAGATTGAAGCTAAGCTAAAGTCTTTTTTGGCAGTTTCATTAAATTTGTCCAGTGGTCCGTGATAAAGGCAGACCGATTAATCAGCAGTTGGCCATGTCTTTACAGTTTTTACTTTATTGATTACCAATTAGGAAAATGATGATGCAGCAGCAGCTGCTACAACCAGCTCACTGTAGCTCACAGTTTAATGTTCTTCGTGTTATTTCTAGATGAACAAGTAACCAAGTCAGTTTTAGTTATAGAGTGCTTTTTAAGATGAAAAGTTCAACGAATTTCACACCAACATCAATTTAGCCAAAAAGCAAACGGCACAAATCGAATCCTTTGAGGTCTGTGTTGTTTTTGGTCATTCAATTTTTATTTTATCTAATAATGAACAGATGATTATTCTATTGACATTGTAAATAGGAGGTTATTCTTAATGTTTTGCCTGGTTAAAAAAATGGATTAAATAAAAAAAATTTAATAAAAAGCGGCAGAACTTCAACTTAAAATGATAGTCTTACAAGATGAGTCTTTTTAAAGAAGTTCAGTGAGTTTATAGAACAGTTCGAAGGACAAAAAAATTCAGAGCGTAGGAATAGTTCTTCTAAGGGTCAGATATGTGTGTATTTACCTTAAACAATTATTTGATTTTATTTTGATAATCAACCATTTCCTCCCCTTATTTTACAGATCATGAATGTCCTCGGCCAAAATAAAGACTTAGGGCTGAGGATCATGGTCAATTCTCTAAATTGATTCGATTTCGATCCATTAAGTTCAGAATTGATTAATCACGATTCGATTCGATTCAGTGAAAATGTTTGTTTTTTCTCTTTAACATAAATAACTGGTTTTAAGGACAAACTTTTAAATTAAACTGTTTAATCTTGAAAGAAAACTGTCACAAGTATAAAAAGTTTTAAAGTAAAAAGGAATTGCAGGTGACAGTGTTATTAAAACTTAATACAAATAACTAGAGCTGGGCGATATGATCAAAATTTTATATTACGGTATTTTCAACATTTTCACTGGTTTCACGGTATTTGATGGTATTTTTCTTTTCGTCACAGCTCAGCTGATAATAAAATGTACAAACCCTGCTTATTGACTTTTTTTTTCTTTTACTGTACCTCTGTCTGTGTCGCTGTTTCCCTCCTCTGTGTCTGTTCTTCTCTGACTGGTGGTTTTAGATAGTACTCATTTTGGTCCAGTCGTGAAGGAGGAGGGTTAAGAAAAGATTATGATCGGGTTTATTGTTTTGTTATTTATTAAAGCTTATCAGCACGACTCACCTTGCACATCAGTCAATTCTAACTCCACTACGAACTACTTCCTGCAGGCTTTTCACAATAGAACCACGTTAAGTCTCCATCAGCATAACGTCTCCATATTAACTAACCACGTTAAATCTAACTGTGCACGTCACTGAAGAGGTGTTTACTACGTTCAGCGACAGCGAAAACGGGATTTTTTTTAAACGTCAGTCAATATAATCAGCGGAATCACCACCTGCGGCTGCATGTAGCTGCTCCAAACATTAGCATGCTAACGCACATAGCGGTGCAGCAAGGAAAAATGTCCCCTGGGAAACAACAGTTCACTGGCGGCTGCGACGAAACGTTCCGCTATTTAAACCAGAATGTCTGGTATTCAAAAAATTCATATCATAACAAAAATAAAAACCGGTATTTGGTACAAAACGATATACCGCCCAGCACTACAAATAACTTATTAAAATAACTACAAAATTTCATCACTGTGGATTTCATTAAGACATTTCCTAAAGTTTAAACAAAACTAAACATTTTGTTAGAATGTCGTCTTTCACATGTTTAAACATGCCAGTGGAGAACAGTTCAGTCAGATGTTTACGTGCCGTAGTTTGGTTCGAGTGCCGAGCCACTCGTCAAACCCTGCTTCGTTTTCGCTACCATGTAGGAGCGCAAATCTTTGGAAACAAAAGTCACCATGGTCTCTGTTATTTTTAAGTTCTGCTGAGAGTCGGCTGGTAAGGGTAGTGATTCCTTAGTTTCTTTTGTTTTGATCCAGACTTTTGTTTTGATCCAGACAACTTGTTATCGAAAGCTAATATTAGCACTGAACGTCAGAAGGATGTAAACATACGGCAAGCCAGGAGTGACAAAATATAGAAAAGCGCCTCAGACGTGCGTACAAGACGGCATGGGGAAGAATCGAACTCATGTCCTGTGAATTGATTTTCCCAAATTTAAATGAAATCGATCCAAGATCGATTAAATCTATTTTTTTTACCCAGCCCTAATAAAGACAACTCGTGATATTTTGTTAACAAACAGAAACATTCTCACTGACCTTTTAACAAAGCCTCCCACCATGACTGGAGCCGTCCAGCACATGGAAGAAGAGCGTGTTTGTGTCTAACCTGGGATGTTGTGTGTGTCCTTCAGGTCAGCAGGTTCTGGGTCTGGTGGAGAACCAGAGTGACTGGTACTTGGGGAACCTGTGGAAGAACCACCGACCCTGGCCGGCTCTGGGCCGAGGCTTCAACACAGGTGAGTTGATGAAGAGGAGCGCAGCTGCTTCTGTCCTGGTTTAGGCTCCGTGGAGCTGGTTCCAAAGTGAACCAGAATCTTAAAATAGGTCCAGTCCAAGGAGGTTTTATAGAACTGGAGTGTGCAGAAACCACGTGACTGTGTGATCGGCTGGAGAAGCTAACGGCTAACGCTAAACGGGCAAGACTCTGGATTTCCCATTACTGTACATATTGACAACAGAGCAGAAAAAAAGGACTGACGATGTAGAAATCATTAAAACTATTAATAATAATATTAACAAGATTATTATTAATAGTTTACAGTTTATATAATCTATTTAATATTTTAGATAACGCCTGAAAACCTGTTTGTGTTATGGATTTATTAACAGAAGATAAACAGGAAAACGTCTCATTTYACAACACAAGTCAGCAGATTTGATCTTATTTAGCTCAATGTGATCTGAGCAGAACATAATGTAACAGTTAAAAATTAAAATAATCTTATAAAGTCGATGTAATCACTGTTATTTATTGAGCTGGTTAGCAGATATTAGCTTGTGGAGGATATATATACAGATCTGTTGAATCATGCTACAATTTAACACAACCTATTAAATATTACTTTGTCCTCTGATTAATATTCAGACCTACAGAGTGTAAAATAATATTATAAATGTATTTTTAGGTTTCTGTTAGAGGAACCCGACCTGTTAAGAAGATGTTAGCTAATAGAGACAAGTTTCATCCTATAACCTGAGAACATTTTCTAACTGTTGACTGGTAAATATAAATATTCTTAATTTTTATGACAGTAAGAAGAAATAATAAATATATTTTATTACTAGATGAAGTCATCATTTTTCAACAAGTTTAAGTCTAAATTACAGGCTGACTTCAGGTCTGGTTTAGATCATTGTTACTTTTAAATTATATATTTTTCTGGTATAAATCTGCTGTTTTACATGATTGTTGAATGAAATTAACAATTATTAATTTATTGAAAAAATATTACAGATAATCTGTGAAACAGATCCAGTTCAGCTGCTGTTTATCTATTAGTTTCTATGGAGGCTGTGAGCTGTTGTCCTGTTTGGTCTGTTTCTGCTCCTTCATGATGTCACAGATGCTACCAGTGGACGGTATGGGCGGGGCTCAGTCTAGTGATCTTTATATTTAAGTCTATGGTCCAGTCTTCACGGGTTTCTGGTGATTCATGTGGACTGAGCTTTCCACCACCATCCTCTGTCAGGTTGTGACTGATCTGAAGCTCATCTGTCCTGATGAGCTAACAGCTAGTCACACTCAACTAATGTTTTGCTACTTTGACGTTTTAGCCGCTGTCTCAGCTAGCATTTAGCTATTTTTACATTTCAGCTAGAGTATCTCAGCTTTAAGTGTTCTGCTTTTTTATTTTACCAACTCAGTTTCAGCTTCGTCAGCAGATTGTGAACAAGTGCTGAGGAATCAGTTCTCACATTTTGAACAGAAAATCCTCCCTAATGTTCCTAAAAGCCTCATTTTCAAATGTCAGGAATGTTTCTTTACTGTCTCAGTTGTGTAACAGCAGTGTGTGCTCTGTTACTCTGCCAAACTAAGGCTGTGTCCAAAACGACAGGCCGGGTCCTCCGGAGGACCCAGACTACCCGATCAAGGTGGGCCGGGTCCTTGGTAGACCGGGAAGACCGGAAAAAATTTGGACGGTCTAGTGTCCCGTCCTTACGTCATGTCACCTAGCAACTGTGACGACGCTAAACAAGCAAACTTAAATCGAAACTAGAAAAATATCAATAAATTAGCATTATTAATATCACAAAACTATAAAATTAACTTAAAGGTATCATTTGAAGAACTAATTGACCCGCTGTAGGTGCATGTTTATTTCACGATTTTTTATGACAAACATAATATTTAAAAACATGTCTATACAAATGGTAAACGTATTAGAATTACAACTGCTATAATTTTTATATCGCCATATTTTTATTTAAAACATATTCTTTTCTTTCGCTTCGTCCGCCATTACTAGCTTAAAAAAATCTCCGGTCGGGCCGCAATGTATTATGGGATATGCTGGGCCGGGAAGGATCCATCAGACCTGTCCTTCGATTCGGGCCAAAGGAAGGACGTATTTGTCGGCCGCATTGGAGGAGTCTTCGGTTTTGGACGGCCTTCGTCGCGGCGCTGTGACATATGCGGCTGACAAATTCAGCCTTCGGAGGACCCGGCCCGCCGTTTTGGACACAGCCAATATATTCTTCTTTGTGTGTGTGTACTTGTTTCTACCACAGAGTGAGGACCATTTGCTCCATAGTTACTATCAAAGTGAGGTGAAGCTCTGCTCTGCTTTACTAGTTAGGTTTAGAGCAGAGGTGCCCAAACATTTTCCCTGAGAGGGCCAAAATTAAAATCAATCTGAGGGCCGCGGGCCAAATGCAATAAAATAAGAAGAGCAAATACTTAAGTAAAGTTGTTTTATTTTTTTATGATTAAGCTAGCAGCCAGTGTGGTTGCCCACATTCTTTTTTTTTTCAGCCCATGGACATGGAGAGCATTCAACATATGCTCAGGCAGCAAAGGCTCATGGGACTTTTCATAATTTAAAATTTTAGTATATGGGGTCTTATAAGGTGTGCAAATCTATACATGGGCTTAAATCTAACCTAAATGTCTCTTATAGTTACTTGAATTTTGTATTTAATCTTATCATAATTACAATCTAGTAACCAGGAAAACTGCTGGTGGGCCAAATCAAATGGCTCAGCGGGCCAATTTAGGCCCGCGGGCCCCACTTTGGGCACCTCTGGTTTAGAGGTATGGTGTGAATTAAGTTCTGGTTCAGGTTAGTGTTAACTATAGACCAGTAATGATTAATTTTACTAGTTTGGTTTAGAGGTATGGTGTGAATTAAGTTCTGGTTCAGGTTAGTGTTAACTATAGACCAGTAATGGTTAGTTTTAGGGAAAAGATCTGGGTTAGGTACAGTTACAAAAATGAATGGACGTCATTACAAAGTCCTCAGTTTGATGCAAAAACAAGGAAGTGTGTGTGTGTCATTTATACTGTTAGTCTTTAGTAGGGTTAATTAGTGTGACTGATTAGATTTTGCTGTCAAAACTTATTTTCATTTACTGTTTATATTAAGAAAGCCACTCAGGGTGGGCTTTCTGTGTGTGTGTGTGTGTGTGTGTGTGTGTGTGTGTGTGTGTGTGTGTGTGTGTGTGTCATTTATACTGTTAGTCTTTAGTAGGGTTAATTAGTGTGACTGATTAGATTTTGCTGTCAAAACTTGTTCACATTTACTGTTTATATTAAGTGTTTATATTAAGTGTTTATATTAAGTGTTCATATTAATTGTTCATATTAATTGTTCATAGTAAGTGTTCATTATGAACGTATTAAGAGTTTATATTAATTGTTCACATTAAGTGTTTATATTAAGTGTTCAGATTAATTGTTCACATTAAGTGTTTATATTAAGTGTTCACATTAATTGTTCATATTAAGTGTTCATATTAAGTATTCATATTAATTGTTCATATTAAGTGTTCATTAACGTTTTAAGAATTCATATTATGTGTTTATATTAAGTGTTCATAGTAAGTGTTCATAATAAGTGTTTATATTAAGTGTTCATATTAATTGTTCATATTAAGTGTTCATTAACGTTTTAAGAATTCATATTATGTGTTTATATTAAGTGTTCATAGTAAGTGTTCATAATAAGTGTTTATATTAAGTGTTCATATTAAGTGTTCATATTAATTGTTCATATTAAGTGTTCATTAACGTTTTAAGAATTCATATTATGTGTTTATATTAAGTGTTCATAGTAAGTGTTCATAATAAGTGTTTATATTAAGTGTTCATATTAAGTGTTCATTATGAATGTATTAAGAGTTCATATTAAGTGTTTATATTAAGTGTTCATATTAAGTGTTCATTTTAAGTGTTCATTATGAACGTATTAAGAGTTCATATTAAGTGTTTATATTAAGTGTTCATATTAATTGTTCATATTAAGTGTTCATTATGAACGTATTAAGAGTTCATATTAAG